TTCCTTCCTTCCTTCCTTCCTTCCTTCCTTCCTTCCTTCCTTCCTTCCTTCCTTCCATTTTCTTTTCTTTCTTTTTCTTTCTTTCTTCCTTCCTTTCTTTCTTTCTTTCTTTCTTTCTTTCTTTCTATCTTTTTCTTCATTTTTTCTGTAGGGTGGTCTGCTTGATCACTTCCTTGGGGATGCCATGTCACCATTTGGAGTGTTTTTTCTTAGGTTGCTCTGGTTCTCAAATGATGATTTGCTTCGTATCCCATGATGAGGGGAGAGAACCTTGAAATCTTTAGAACAAATGTGTAATCTTTTTTCTTGCTCAGGCTTGCTCATTGTCTGTTCATCCTTATGCATACTGTTATAGCTTTTCTATGAAAATCTTCAGTCCTCCATCAAATTATAACACACACATTGGTGTTTGTTTTTTCCTTCGCAGATCATTGCTCATTTAATACATTTAACTTAAAGTCATGTAGAAATTTTGATTTTAAAATTTAACTTGGATTTTAGGAGATATTGAGTTAGATAAAGAAATGCCTTCACCAATCTGATTTGTGAATCTTTATTCTATGTTCATTATCTCAATGGAACTTCATTTCAAAGACTTATCATTACTGTCAAGCAGTATATGGAGGAAGCCTAGTTAAAACCAGTACCTGATTGGAAGCATCATCAGCTGAATTCAAAGGGCCAGTGACAGCAGAAGTTTTCAGAATTGGATCATCGGTCACAATTGAGACTGGAGAAAGACTTACCTAGAATACTCTTTCTTTTGAGTTCTACAGTCTAAGTTTGACAAACTATAGATGACCAGAGAAGAGAGATATTATTGGCTGAGGTACAAAATAAATGGAGAAGACAAACAGCTCCATGACTTGTTTCTATTAATTTAGGTAGAGACTTCTGAGATGATTCAACTAAAATTTAAATTCAATTTAGATGAATTCATAGATAAGCCATGTTAAGTCCATGTTTAAATGCTTTGGAAAAGCAGAGATATTAGAAATCCTAAATATTAAATAGAGTGTTATGTACACATAGTTTTAGATGTCAGAAGGAGAATGGTAAAATCAGGTGACAGCCAAACGCATCTTAATTCCTTTAAGGAAAGCCTACCGAAGGGTTAGTACATAAAAATTTCATCAGCAGTTAAACAGATAAAATAAATGCATGAGATGGATGGAAATATTATCTTAAAAATTTTTTCCATGTGTAGAGTGAATATCAGGCTTGAAAAATTCCATTTTTCCTTAGAAGGCCTATAATTTGATATTAATTTATAACATAATCACTTTTGGGGCATTAACTTTTACAATTTCATGCTGTTTAAAAATATATGGACAGGATACATTCATCTACTGTGACTTAAATTTGCAACCTTTCTGATAGTTCTGTTTAACTCTCAGTTTAACATTGTAACCACCAAAACAAGGCTGCTGCTTATGTACAAAGTATACTTTTGAGAGTAAATCTAAACCAAACAATATCTATATTGCATTGGTCTGTGATAGAAATTTTGCTTTTTAATGTAGTTTCCTGTGGAGTAATTCTGCCCATTGTGTGATGAACTATGCACCTTTCCTTTTTGTGGATTACCCTTACTGGTTATATAATATCACAGGTAAGCTAGCCATAAAAATTGTGTGTGTGTGTGTGTGTGTTAGGGTAATTTGCATTTGTCTCCTTCTAAACAATCATTTATGAATGAGATCCAGTTATAATCTAAATTGATATAATTATGTTTTCATTAATTTGGATGCTCACTACATCCTTAAAAGTTGTTTTATTCACTGGAAAAACAATACATGCATGGTGAAATAACAGTAACTATAGTTTTAAGTACTTGGGTATGCACTGGAGGTCATTTCTCATACCTACAGTTTAAAAGGTCTCAAGTTTTGCTACATTCCTGGTAATTGTTAATGATATTATAATGTGTAAAGTAAGGAAAAAGAAAAATAAGACCTGTACTTAGAAAGATTACAATGTAAATGAAGAGGCACATGGATACTTATTTAAAACATTTTATGGTGTACATAGTTCATAATAATATGAATATGTTTTGTAGTGATTTTGTCTGATAGCTTTAGAAGTCCTGTGAAGTGAGTGAGGAAGCACATCCTGTGAAGCTCAGTTAGAACCTACCATGTTTCTTGCCCAGAGCACACTCTGTATTCTATTGCATTTTCCTCCCAGTCATCTCCTTTTCCCCACTACATTTACACTGAAAACAGTCCCTATTAAACGGCTAATACCATATAAGGAATGAGATGTAGAAAGAGCAATAATGAAGAATAAGAGCTTGCTAGCAAATAATTAGCTTTCAACTAATTAAGCATTAAAGTGACTGTCCCTGGATTTAATAAGGAGGCTTTGAGTGCCTTTTAATGAATTTTAATGCATTTAACTCCTTTCTCTATAACACAGTGTTGATTCTTAAAAACTTTTTCCATATAACTCTGACTTCTTTCCACAGAGAAAATACAGGAAATGTAGAATCTCCATAAATATAGATGCTATTTAGAAGACAATTACAAGGAGAGTGAAATTTCAAATTAAATACCTTCATTTTCCTCAAAGCATGTAAATGGAAGAGAAATGCTAACAACAAGGACAAGACTTGTCATTTTGGAAGTAATGGTCTTATGACTGGAAAAAGTTTAAAGATTAGCAAAGGCAAGATGACAGTTTTAAAAAAGGAAAATCAGAGCTTGAATTAGAGTGTTACGTTTATAAATGATCTTCCAGCAAGATCTGTGGCAGGTATTATTCATTGCAGGAATCCGGAAAGTATAATATGCTGAAATAAGGATCACACTTTTCTCTTTGAGGTGATTTATATTTAAATGAGTTCTCTATAATCCTTTAAACTGAAGTGCAAATTGGTTATCAAAGTCTTTAGCTGTAAGGGTTGTTTTACATAATAATGAATTCTGCAGAAGTTCCTCAAAGGAAAATATTGACTTAGGCAACATCACAGGGTTGTTCAGTTACAGCAATGTTTTAGATTGTGATCATAGACACTGCATCAAAACTTTCTAAAACTCTGAATTTCTTTACTAAAAGTGTAGGCCATGTAGAGTTTCTCAGTATAAAATATATGCTATTTAAAATTTAAGAAAAAGTTGTTCCATTTAAATCTATGATGTCTCTTTCATATTAACATGCTGGGGAGATTTACTGACTCTTTTTTAATGAGATGTTTTAAAATGTGGGTTGAATAACTTCATTTTGAAGTGCTTAAGATTAGAAATGTTCCATAGCTCAACAAGGAGATGGGTACTAGTTCTGGTCAGGGGGCAACAGGCAGGCAGGCGCTGGCTTGCTTCAGTTTAAGAACCATGAATGGGTTCCAGAGAGGAGTCCTTTGTTGCAAGCAGGAGCCTCAGCCACAACTCTAGTTACCAGCAGTACTCAATAGTTAAGAGTAACCTAGCAGCCTCACTCCAGAAAAGCCAGAAATGTAGCTGTGAAGGAAAGCTTAGTCCTGATCTTAAGACCAAGGTAGTTCACAAACCACTGTTGTGGCTACAGAAATAAATTTAAGCCCCTGAACCTTTGCTTATATTGACAGAAGTTTGGATTTAAGAACCTCAGTACCACATGCATACAAGTAGAGTTATTAACACAATCCTTGGAGTAAGGACTAGGATTAAAAGAGACACACATCATATATACCTAATGGGTCTCCTTCGAATCCCCATGCTAGCTCTATAGCAGCAGCCTGTGAGTTACCTTTAGCATAGTGACCTTGACAAATGCAAGGCTCCGAATGTAGACCTGCTCTGAATTCATCCCAATTCCTATTTTATGTGGTCTTGGAACATTATACAAGAAAAAGTATAATAACTATAAAGACTGTGGCTGGGAACCATCTATAATCCAGAAAGAGCCACTGAAGAGATAGACCTGCTGCATGCTTCCGGGTGTCTGAATTTGGGTAAGACATTCCACAGGGTGAAAAGTAAGACAGGGTTTGATCTCTGCAATAACAGTCTACAGATTTTTTTTGTATTATACTGCGGTTAATTTAATGAAATGTGAATATGGAGTTATCTTGATAACACTATCCATTACTTGCCTTTATTTTCTTACAATTAATACTGAGAAAGAAAGTGTCAATTGTGATTCAACTACGATTGATTGCTCTACCAAAATACTATCCTTTTAAAACCTTAATCTTAGAAGTTTTGTTCGTGTTTTCCCAAGAAAACCCACTCCATCAGTGTAGTTATTGGCTTAAAAGAGTTGTTTGTGACTTTGTAACTTAGTGACTCAGTGGTGTCTGTTTGGCCTGCGTTCTACAGTTGATGGTGTTGGATTAATTCCAACCTGTCTGTCTGTGGTCACAGATTCATTTTCACTTACCTGTCTCTGCTTTCTGCTGCTTCTCAATCTTCTCCAAGCGCCCTAGTAAGGAGTCAATTTTAGTTTTGATCTGGGTTAATTCTTTCTTGATTGTCTGTAACTCATCTGATTTCACTGGAAGAGGAAAAGTGGAAAGAATACAAGACATCAAATGGACCACTTGGAACACAATTTACGACACAGTACTTCTCCAGAGTGTTTTATAAGAATCCCAGTGAATCATCAATTTCCTGTTACAGCTAGTTATCCTGAAATATTGTGTGTTTTTGCTAATTAGAAATGAGGACACTTACTGACATTAGAATCTGATAATCTTCTATCTAAAGGTCACATAAAAGACTCAAAGAATCTTAAAACATTTTCAAAAGAATAATGTCAGGTCTTGATATTTTTTATTCAGGAAAATAAGTGAATAAACCTTCAATGTAAAACTGATGTGGCTTAAGGAATAGTGATACCTGTGTTTATACTACTTTGAATCCCGTGTTGATATATATAGATAGATAGATATAGATATTGATTTTGAGGCAGAGTTTCAATAAGTAGTTCATGATAGACAAAATACTCCTGCATAGCCCACCACTCATGGAGAGCCATCAGTGATAATTTCAAACCAGTTGTTTGAGCATTGATAGAAACAAAAATCTAGCATTTGTTCTTGAGATAATAAACTATTGCCCTAGTTCTTCCTAAAAGTAAAGTGACAGCATGTACATAGCAATCCTTATGCCATGGGACAGATGGAAAGAAAGCACACTGGTAGTCCTCCTAATTATTTTTACATTAATTTAATTTATGATTTATTTATTTATACACGTTGAAAGAACTTATCACCCTGTTGCTCAAGCTACTCTTGAACTCGCCATCCTCCTGCCTTGTGAGATCAGGAATTGCATACATAAGATACCATTTATCATCTCACCGGTATATGTGTAGAAATTTGTTCAAGTTCTAACTTTTGGATATTCAGTCTGGTTTCTGAAGAGAAGATAGGGGCTGATATGAACAACAACTTTTCATTTTGTTAAGTAGTGTTGCTACAATCCACAAATATTTGTTGGATATTAAGCTCAGTGTTTCAGTGCTTGCCTAGCAAGCTAATGACCCCAGGTTTGATTCCAAGAAATGGAGAAGAATAAGTTAAAATCAGGTGTGGAAGACAACATATATTTTATTATTTCCTTGCCAATAAAATTGATCATTTATTTTTAAGAGGCTTAACTAAAGGAAAATATCATACTTAAATAATAATTATTTTTATAAGGGGAAATGTTCAGGAAATGCCATGTACTGGGCATGACAGAGATTGTATCTTCATTGAGCCCATATAAGCCTGGGCCTGTTAACAATCAGTCAGGGACTAAGATGGATCCTACTCCTGCCTGTTGAGTTATAGGCGATTAGAAGTGGTGGACATTGTCGTCAGTTCTGTACCCACTTGTAAATTTCACACAATAAATCTATAGTTACACAAACCACCCTGGTTAAGTGGAATGGCCTACTAAACAAAACCAACCAGCATGAATGTGGAAAGAGATGAAGCAAAGGTAGGAGGTTAATGGGGTGGGAGGAAAAACAGAGGATATGCATGTGGGAAAAAGACTGAGGGAAGGGAGGAGGCTAATGGGAGTGTGAGGAAGTGAAGAGAGGATGGGGAATGAGAGTAATCACAAGGCACAAAATTGTTAAAGAACAATTGTCATAATAAAGGTTAAGGATACATAATATGATAACTTCTTTGAGAAATTTAATGCACTGTCTTTATTTTTCTTATCTGAAAACCACAAGTAGTTTTGCTATGGGAGAGATCATAAAGTCAAACAGACTCATGAGTATCTGAGCATCATTAGGTAGGCTTTGTGCACCAAGGCCTCAATGCAGAACTGTGCTGCCTCTATAGGGCACACATACATTATTTTCCATTGTGTTCATAATCACTCCAGCTTAGTTATTATCCAGAAATTTGGGGGAAATGTGTTGTTTGACATTTTTGTCTTCAAAACTTTTGAAAAAGTATTAAAATAAAATGAAATATATTTAAGCTTATGTATTTGTCAATTAAGATATAGGAATAGTACAGAATTTATAATGCAATTTGGTCTCAAAAGATAGAGATTTTTTTTCTCTTTAAAAGGAAAACATTCCTTACTATTAAATCAAATTTTAAAGTAATTGCTTTTTTTTTCTACTACAAAGTACTTTGTTAGATAAAAACGCCAGGAAACCAGAGTCTCCTGCAATTCTGTGTTAGAATTGCCCAACTGAAAGAACTCACTTTAAACAGTGACTCATTCTGAATGTCACTTATTTCAAACATCAAAGTATCATTGTTGAATTGCAACTAAATTTGTAAACCATCATCTGTCACTATAGTAAACTGATTCTGTTTTGAAGAATGATACTCATTTCCTATCATGGAAGCATATCATGTAGTTTTACTTAAAACTATCAGATTTAATAGAAAATATTTTATCAGATAGCTGGTTTCAGTGATGTAAAATGGAACTGTGTCTAAAAACTAATAGAATCTCTTTTTCAGGGAATAAGTCAATCCTTAGCTGTAGCCAATTAACTACAATGTATTTATCAAATTAATAAACATAAATTGATAAGTCACAACAGCTTACATTATTACACCTGCATTAGAATGCACCTAAAAATTGGATTTACAAGATAGGAGAACCTGTAGGTGTCCAGGGAGACAAGATTGGAGGTTTAAACTTATACCAGTGTTTTGTAAGACTGCTGAAGGATTGTATTAATATTCTATTCTAATTAATATTATTGAAGCTTATAAGAGTGCACACTCAATTAAAACAAGGAAACGTGTAAAGTCCTATCTTCTTTCAGGGCCCCAACAAGTAATAATGAAATGACTTTCTGGTTGCCTGTCACCTCCAGACATAAAGGTATGAAGTGGTGACAGACTAAGAGCAGACTCGGCTTACAGTGCTGTCTGCTTCTCCCGGAGTCATGGGAGACAACTCCTCATCTTAGCACTGTATGTGGAGGAAGGGTTGTCCATGCCAAGACTGTGAGCCCCAGTCCATCAGAGTCAATGTCTGCATCCAGATGGTAATGGTTTTGTGCTCTCGTGGCTCCTTCCTACAAGGTAGTCCCCAAAGGGGCCACCTCTGCTCCTACTGTTGTTCTAACTCTTGTCCAACTTGCTTTCTACCCCTTTCTATCTGCTAACATTTTCTCTGCAACATATTTGCCCACTGTAAAACGTTAGTTAATTCATTGATACAGGCATTCTATTGTGACTCTGTATTTCTAGACTCATAATTTTAGAAGTTGACAAGGTTAGTAATTGTTTTATACAAAAACTACATGTTAAATAAATAACACAGATGAAGGTCCAATATATCTGTCTCCACTTTTATTTACTCTTATTTGGTCTTTTTTTGTCACTCAACCTAGCCTTCTTGTAAATAGTTCTTAAAGTAATATTTATAAATCATCAGTCTTATACTAAATTGAAAATTTCCAGAATCTTTCCTCTTTCTAAGGCAAGAAAGATAAGAAACACATCCATGAATAGTGTTATTATATGATCCCAAATGTCTTCCATATGATTTGAGTTTCAATTTTTGTGACCCAGCCTGTGACATTATTTTGGCCGACTTCATAACTTTTAGGGGATGAGATATGATAGGCAGAATCAATTCCTGGGCATGACCCTCATGGCCATGTTTGCTTTGTCCACTTCCTGTGTTGATCTTTTGTCTCTTGGTCATCTATGGCTTGACAAATTGTTCTCTGCTGTATGTTCACCTACCATGATGTTCTATCCAATACATGGTACCAAATAATATAGAATCAAGGAGAACCCTCTGAAACCCCAAGTGAAAATCAATTTTCCATGCTTTAAGTTGTTTCTGTAAAATGGCCACAGTACCTGAAAGAAATTAATGTATAAACACAATGCTTCAAAATGATGTCTAGGATCTTCTGAAAGTGCATTTTCACCTTCCTACTCCACGTCTTATTTAAGTCAATCCATCTTTTATAGAACAACTTCCTGTTAAAAAGGAGTTTTCTTCAAATCTGTATGCTTTGGCGATGAGAAGTTTCTCTATCTGTGTGTTTCAAGCCTCTAGTTTAGAGGAAATAGACACAGCTACTTAGTGCCACGCTCAGAGAGACAGTAGGAGCAATAAGTGATAAACGAAGAGCTCACTGTGATCCATGCTATGTACTGTGTTAGTGTGTAAACATGTTTCTCTAATCAAAGGTCTTTTCTGTTTCCAAATGTGTCCCTCAAAATTTTACCAAGATTTTAGGGTTTAGACTTGTTTGCGTATGAATTCCTGCTTTACAAACCCACTGAAGAGTGAGAATCTCACCTGCCATCTCTTTAATGGTGCCTCACATTTACTGCTGCACTTTCACTGATTATCGACTTCCTTTTGCATGTCTGTATTCCATACTAAGTGAGCCGTTTCTTGCATGAATACCTCTTGATTAGACACTCAGGAAATTCAACAGCCCCAATTTTCAGTTTTTTCTGTATGTTTTGATAGTCTCCCTCATCCTTCTACTGATTGCTCAGGTTCCTGCCTTGAAGGTTTAGGAATTGAATCAGTGCTGTTTATTTAAAAATGACTATAACAGCTTTAAAAGAGATGTTAGATCAGGTAAACTGCCAAAGAAATAGTCTTGTCACAGTAAGCCAGGTTCTGAAAACTTAGGGGTAAATTTCAGGGTAGTTGTGGGAAAGGGGTAAATTAAAAAATGTACCCATCCTTAGGCTCTAGCTACAGTGCGTCTGTGGAAAGAGAGCCTTCAAGTCTTTCTTTTCTGTTACCATGTTAATAATAGACCATTATTCAGTGTTTGGACACAATAAACAATAAATGTTAGAAAATTTGCAATATATATAGATATAGTGACTTCATGCTAGTTTCAACAAGGCTAATCCTTTGTGTATCTGGTAGACATCGAAATTCATAAAGTACTATTCTTAGGAGTTGACTGACTGGGACACAGTAAGCAGCCAGGGAGCTTGAAAAATGTCATTATCATAGAACTGTACCTGTGCCTTGTCAAAATTCTATGATGAAAAAAAAGAAATGAAAGATGATTTTTGGCAACTAACTCTTTGAACATTT